CTGCCAGCCTGGCCTAGTACCTACCCTCTTCCCTGGTGTGGTAACTGCAAAGTGAGGTGAGCTTTACTTCGCGGCTCCCGATCCGCTGTAAGTGGAGGGGTGTGGGGGGAGCCGCGGCTGTCGGTGTTGCACCCTGGGACTGCGCCCCTGCGGGGCCGACCCGGCGCCGGGCCGGGAGGAGGGACGGCGCGGGGCGGGGCGGGGCGGGGCGCGCGGGGCGGGACGGAGGAGGGGTGGTGGCACCCGCCGGCGGCTCCGACTGGGCGCGCCGAGAAGTCCCGCTCTGAGAGCAGCTGAGCGCCTGGAGCCGGACGCGGACGGTGCAGTCGCGGGGAGCCAAGTCCAGAGCACGAGAGAAAGGAAGGGGAGATTAAGGGGTGTCCTCACGTCGCCACCGGACCCTCTTTTTCTACTACCATCCAGCCCCGGGGAGCCCGCGGTGCTGGCAGCGCGCGGCAGATGGAGTTCACTTGAGCCGGGAACCGGCGGGAGAGGCAGGCCGGAGCCCAGCCAGCCCAGCGCTCCCGACTGGCAGCTGCAGCTGCTGGTGCAACCATAGCCTCGTGCATCGCGCACCGGGAGCGTCTCTGTGCCACACTGCAAAGCCCAGGACCCACTGGATCAGCCCTAGGTGCTGCCGGAAAGGCGGGACCCGCTGTCGGGGTGCCCGAGGCGGCCACCCGGGAGCCACTTCAACCTCCACCGCGGTGCTGATGATGGGTGGGAGGCTGGGAGAAGGCCCTCCCCACACAACCTTTGACAACTAAGCACAAAAGAGAAGCTGGGTGGGGGGAGTTCATTCATGCAACTTTTAATAATGGCAACTCTTCCCCTTTCCTCCTCCTCTTCTCCTCCTCCTCCTCCCTCTTCCCTCTCCCTCCTCCCTCGCTACCCACATGGTCTCCTTTGTCCTGTCGCCGCTGCTGCCGCCTCTATCTTAGCCCCGCGAGCGCCGCGGCGGCGGCTCCGGGGCCGCTGCTCTCCAAGCCCTGCCGGGTCCCCGGGACGCACCAAGTCGAGCCCCCCTCCCCCCCCCGCCCGGGTCAGCGCCAGCCCTTCGCAGGAGCCACACTGAGAGCGCGCGGGCCGGGCGCCCTCCCTGCCAACCGCCCGGGACTCGGCGGCGCTGGATGTGCGCGCGCGGCGCTGGCTCCCCGCTGCCCCGGAGTAGGCTGCAACTCCCGCTGCAGCTGCTGCTGTGGCTGCAGCGGCTTCGGTTCGGATTTGGTTCTCCTGCCTCCGCTCTGAGACTTTGGAGAATTAGCAAGACACGCAGACTTACAGACCCAGCCGGGCCGCCTGGAGTTGGGCGTTTTCTCTGTTGTGGGTTTTGGTTGCTCTCTCCCCCCTTGGTGGCTAGTGATCCACCCAGAGGGAACCCTGCCGAGGACCCAAACCATGAACTTGCGCTTGACAGGACTGCTGAACCCCTGGCCACCAGGTAACCCTGCCGTTGGATTGGGGGAAACGGCTGTATCGCCCGCCGCCAGAGATCCGGAGGGAGGAGGCAAGGGTCGCGGGGTCTTTTGTTGGCTGCTGCAGCCGGGCTGGGGTGCTGGCAGGGGCGGGCTGCTGGCGTCTGGCGCGCCCGGCCCCCCCCTTCTCCACCCCTCCCCCGCTCCCCTTTGTACTTTCCTGGCTCCCTGCTCCCGCTAGGCTCAGCACTCGAGCTGTGCGCTCGTGCCCGGGAGGCCCTGGGGGCTAGAGGTGATCCCAGCTTCTTTATTGCCTCAGGGAGAGGACTCTGGGCCCCCGGAGGGGATGGAGCCTGGGGAGGCCTACACCCACTCCGGCTGGAGAGCTGCCTTGTTCCCGGGTCACTGTCCCGGATCTGGGCTCCGGGTGCCCATCCGCCTGTGCGCACGAGGAACCCTGGGAAGCTGGAGTAAATCTGGGCTTGGCGATTGGTGTTGAAACTCTTCACCCGTACTTAAGTTTCCGAGGGGGTTGGTAGTCTTTGCTGCTTCCAGGGTCCCTCTTCCAGCGGGCGGCAGTGGAGGGCTACCACGGGGCTTTGAGTTTGAAAGGTATCTAGGTGCAGCCCCAGCCCGTTGGGTCCCGCCACTCACTGGGCACGGAAGGTTATTATTTATTTATTTATCATTTATTTATTTATTTCCCCCTTTCTCTTTCTCCAATCTGCATAGCTTAACTTTTATTTCAATGCCAGCTTCAGTTTCTAGACCTTTTTCAAAGTATTGAGATAAAAGACAAGTACTACACACCTACCCTCCGATTAAAAAAACAAAAAACGAGAGCTTTGTTTCGCTGGGAATTTTAGACTCAGTCTGTAAGTGCAAAAACAAAACAAAACAAAACAAAAAAACCAACAACAGCAACAAAAACCCCCACCAGAACCAAGCGACGTGGGAACTAAACGGCAACTGAAATATTAAATTCTGTGTGCTAAAGGTACCTAGTGCTAAAGAGAAGAGGGAAGACCTCCCTCAGATCTGCCACTCGGCTCATTGCACCCAGATTAGCGTCGTTAATTTTTTAGAAAAGAAAAATTAGGGAAATGGTCCAAATGTAGAAGGAAATGCGCGCCTTTTTTTTCTCCTCAAAGTAACGAAAATTAAAATGTCCCCAAGATTAAGGAGCCTAATGATTTGTGCAAATTCTTTTAAATTTGCATTTATTAATGGGGGGATGCGCGCAGGGGTCAGAGGACAATTTACAGCAATCAGTTCTCTCCTCCCACCTTTACGTGGGTTCGGGAACCGAACTCAGGTCGCCATGCTTGCGAGCAAATAAATCCCCTTACCCACTGAGCCATCACGCCAGCCCAGTACAAATGGTTTTTAAAAGTGTGGTGGAAGGAAAAGTTTTTTGAAGAACGGCGAAGTATCTACGTGGAGTTTCCACCTATCAAGACTTGTCTTAGGAAACCCGACTTTTGAAAGGTAGTCAGCCAGGCCAGATGGGACTGAGAGGGATCAGAAAGATCCCTTTTATGATTACCAGGGTGCAGGGGCACGTATGCATGTCTTTGGTATGCTTACTTTCCTCAAGGGGGCCTCTTTGAGATTACCCCTTCTCCCCTCACACACACACATAGGAGGCATTTCAATGCTTTGTGACAGATGTCAGTACATTGAGGGGCCCAGAAAGCTTCATTAGAAGGCTGGGTCTCCAGAGCTCTGAGAATGCCCTGTCAGACTTATTTCCTCTGAACTTGTTGACTGACCTCAGCTTCATCAGGTCTTCCGACATAAGGGTCACTTCCGACATAAGGGTCACTTCACTGTCTATTTGAGAATAGTGTACATAGCCCAGGGGAGCGCACAAAGGTGGCAGGAGCTCAGGGGCTGCCAGCTACAGCCTGTGCCACCTAAGGCCTGGTCCTGGTGCCACTGGCCAGCATACCTAATCAACTCCATTTTATTTTTAAATCCATGACCACCACAGGCCATGGTGAGAGCACTCCAAGACCTTCTAAGGATGGTGAAAAACTCTGCATTGCCAAGTTTTTAACTGGGAAATTCACAAGCATAGAACTCTCATTAATATTTGGGTATAGCAACACCTTTTTCATAATTTGGGGCTTTGTAACTTAATATTCTTGGTCTGTTTGACACCTAAACGTTCCCCCTTTCACTACTTTCTTGGTTAATTTTTACGAAATGTTACTATGATACAGAGTTTCATTTAGTTTTGTTGAAGATGTCATGAAAGCTGTCCATGTAATTTTTATTAATCCTGTAAAAGTGGAGGAAAAAATCTATATGGGATTTCTTATAAGCGGTATATAAATGAATTGAACTGAATACTCATTTTGTACATTTTCCCTTGATCCTACTAATCTTCTGAGCCACCCCTATAGATGGAAGATTAGAATTAAAATCAATGAAAAAATAGCCATAGTAAAAATAGGTTAGATCTTTTTATATCCTTTGCCTTGTAAAGGAACAGTTTCTCAGATAACACAGAAATATTTCATCTCCATCAATGTATCGTTGAAAGACTACACATAATATCTTCTTTGTCCTCCAAAGCCAGCCCAAATTCCCTCACCCCCGCTCCCCATATTTCTTTCTTCCAGATTTACTGAGCATTCCGTGTTTCACTTTGTCAAATTTATGCATCTCTCTGTATACTACATGAAAGATAAGAGTTTTCTCATAAGGGTTACACATCACAAAGACAGCACAAAAATAGGTTGACCACTGACACTTCAGAGAGGTATCTTCCAATTATAGCAGTGAGCTTGCTTTATTTTTAGCAATTTTCAAGCCTTAGAAATATATCTGTGACTCTTCAACATTACAGTCTCTGCCATGAAACAGACTTGCTATTTATTTTCAGGAGCATTACTGTATAATTTAAATTGGCTTTGGTCTTGCTATTTAAATAGGCTTATTTGACTTCCCTCAAGCCAGTGCAATTATTAGCAGACTTGTTCTCTGAAAAAAGCAGAAAGGAAAAAATATGGGTGGCATACTGGCCCGGTTTCGAGCAGGGTCAGCTTTCCTGTGAAACACCGAGGTCGGCCTGGTTACTGTAAAAAGCAAGGAACTTTGGGGTCATCAAACACATAATTTTTTTTATTAATTTCTGGAAGTGCTGTTTGGCACTTTAATGAAGAAAAACTTAATACTAAATAATAGGCATTTCTGGTTTGTGGAAGAAAATTGAAAAACAAAAAATCCAGTGGTCAAAAAAAAAGCCATTTTCAAAATAAATGATCTGTCAATGGAATTAGAAAATCGTTTTGTGAATGAAATAAATTGCTTTGTGCACCATCTCATAGAAATATGTTTTGCACAGATAATATGTCTAATAAGGACACATTTTTAAAATCAGATTTTTTTTTTCTTCTCCCAGTAAATAGCTGCAGTGCAGACCTCTCTCAAACAGTTAACCAGCACCACCTTATGGAGGATTGGGGGAAATTACTGACTTTGTATTTTCCTAAAATTGATTTAAAATCAAAGTGACCCATGATAATGTGGTGGCAGTCTTAAAGATCTTAACACCTCTTCCCTCTTCTTGTTTTCTAGGCATCTGATGCTAGCTCTGAAAAACTCTTCAACACGGTTCTTGCAAACAAAGGTAAGACCCCTTCATCATTCTATGTTGGCTTAAAAAAATAAGGATTTTTATCGTCATCGACCAAGAATGAGTAAAGGAAAATCTGTGTGGTCTTTTGGTTTTCCTATTTTGTGTGTTTGCTCAAGATGGAATCTGAGTGTTTTTGAGACACAGGAGAAAAAGTTTATTTGAAGAGAATTTAATGATGCCTCTTAAATTGATTCTGTGGTGTTAATTTAATGTAGGAAACTGCAATAGAGAAAAGTGGCTCTTACAATGGTTTGATTGTTAGCAACTTCTCGGCAGTCGGAGTATTATAAATAGTATATGTGTGCCACAGACAGTAATAACCAGTGGGGTATTTAGTATGTGTGATGCTATGGCCATAAACCAAGCCCTCCTCTGCTCTGGGCATCTCTGTGAAGCTAATAAACGAGCAAGAGAGGAGAATTTAAATATGCACTCTTCCATTAATTTCTTCCAAACCTCAGTCTGTAGAGTAGGAGAGGCTTTCCATACGTGGAGGGATAGCTCACCGAGTCACTGTCCGTGTGTTTCTCTGCCATCATCCTCATTTGTAGCAGGGTCGTTTGGCATAATGAAATTTAGGGGAGCCTTCAGCCTACCTTTAAAAGGTGTGTAATTTGAAAGATACAAATGATATCACCCCATCTTCCCCCCTTCCATTACAGAACCTCATTTAGGGGCTTGCTGGATAATTACTAGATAAAGATGCACTAACAGTGATAACCTTGTGGAGGATTGGAAGGTCTGGATCCAACTAGACATCACACTGGATTGGCCTGGGAGCTGGGTGCCCAATGGATGAAATTGTAGACCATTTCAGCAGGCTGTGTTACCTTGGCTAGCATAAAACATTTTTTTTTTTTCCTAGCTGGTTATGACATTTCCAAGAGGTATTTTGAGCTCCTCAATTATTTTGGAATCTGAACCAACTACCATTTTAAATAGTATTTAAAGTTGCCCCCAAAGTCTGTATGCTTATGAGGTAACTGGCATTCCTAGAATTAATGTCATAATGAATGGGTCCTTTTTTAAATTGCATAATAAGATTCCAGTTCTGTGTCTTATCAGAGGTTTTTTTTTTTTTATGGCCTGAGAGTTTCTATAAATTTGTTCTCCATAATGCTAAAGGCCCAATAAAAACAGATAATGGTAGCTGACAGCTTACCTCATTCTGGAGTGGGAATGCGTAATTGTTTTCTGCTCAAGTTTATGAGGGAAGAGGACTGGTGGACCTTGGAGGCACCCATTGTAAAAGAATGCTCACAGGAGAGGAGACTGAGGCAGGACAGGTCACAACCCAAAGCCGTTTCTGTGACTGGACACCCCCTCCAGCCACTTGTGACCGTCTTTCTTGCCAAGCTGCCCTGCCTCTTTCCAAACTGCTTTTGGGCCCTGCTTGCAACTTGAGGGGCGGATACCAAGTGAAGATGGCTCCAAGGCCCCTCCCCTCTCTCCTCCCAGCCTCTTCCCTCTTTGTCCCCTCCCACCCCCACCCTTCCTATTTCCCATCCACTGCTTCCCACATTCCTATTTGTATTTACTTACTTAGTGCGATGTGTGGCTTCTTTTTGGCTGTGAATAGCCATGCCCCTGACTGGGTGTCTTTCTGCTTAGCTGTTTTCCTAGGAGGGGTAGGGGGCGATTTTAGTTGCCTTGAAAGGATTAAGGTTTCTTTGTGTATACTAAAAATCAACACAGGCTTTTCTCCTAAGCTTTGCTTGGGAAACGTACACAAATAAGCATTTTAGTTGATGACGGATTATTCCTTCGCCCCTTATTTCCATCAAAATGGCCCGTCTTTTCTCCCCCTGAGTTTCCCCTTAATGCCTTATGCTAATTCCTGTTGGTAACTTGAATGACAAGCGCCTGAATCAGTGCCCGAGTACAGGTGTTGTGAAGGCCTGTTACCCAGCAGCCCCTCCTCCCTGGAGAGAAAGAGATTAAGGGGGGGCAGCAAGCTCAAAACATCAAGATAGTTTTGTTAAGGAGATTAGCATTCAAACTGCTAAATATCAGGAAAACAACTTCAGAGAAAGGGGATTCGTTGTGCTGCTGTAATGTCAATAATTGCTGGGAGACAGGTGCAGGGAATCTCCTTAGGCAGTTGTGGTTTGGGGTCTGTTTGGACTCCGGGTAGTAGTGGTGTTTGCTGGATGTATATTTGACAAGGCCTGCAGGGAACTGTCAGATTCTCTCACATCAAGTTCAAGCTCCTCTGCAAAGCCGCCTTGCCAAGCTGAAAGTGAAGTCTTTGTCCAGTATCTTTAGCCAAAAACAATATTTGAAAAAAAAAAAAAAAAAAGCTTTGTGGGGACAAATTTATAGCAGGTATCAAACACAGCTGGGAAAATCTTCAAAACCTCTTGCAATTGAACAGCTTTAACCAGTGTTGGGAGGAACCAACACGTGCACCCTCCACAGACAGACGGTCAAAGCTCCAACTCCACTCTCCCTTGCTGTAGTCTGGTCTCGGAGAAGCTTAGCTGGTGAGGTTATGCCTCCAGAGCCTGGTGGCCTGGTGGCCTGGTAGCAATGCAGATTTGGGCCATAAAATTTCACTGTGGGAGAGCATTGCTAATCTCAAAAGCTGATTGGGTCGGGGACTGGGGAGCTGGTAAGTTGGCAGCTTTGATGTTGGCCTGCTCTGCATGGAGTCGGAGCCCCAGGCTGTAACAGCAAGGGGCTGTGGCTCAAGTCCATCACCAGGCTTGTGAGCTTGAACAAGCCATTTAGCCTCTGCAGGTCAGAATTTTCTATACTAAACAAACCCAGTTCTCAGTTAATTGGCAAGGGGCATGGGTTGGAACAGGCAGGGTACAATGAATAGGTTTTCTATAACTGACCTATTGATTTTTATTTCGGCATTCCTGTGTTGTGGATTCCATTCAGTTTAATGGAGAACTAGTGAGACCTGCTTAGGTGTTCCAAAACGTTGCCTTCTTTTGATGCCTTTTATTTCCTGTTTTATAACAAGTTAATCAGATGGCACGTGCTGACTTATACATGCAGCATACCCAATGAGAAGGGAATCTTTCCTGAGAGGCGTGGAGTTGAGCCTACAAATTGGAAGGATTATCACTGTAGACATAAAAAAATATAGCTAAACTTTAATCAAGGTCAGGGCTGCCTTATCTAATCTGGATGTATTTAAATGTTTACAGGATATTCATGTGAATTTTATGAATCCTTCTGTCTTTGTGATTCAACCATCTGCCAAAGAAAAAAATTATTTTTCCCACTGAGACAGAAACAGAGAGAGACTGACTTCCTTATTGCCCCTGTGAGCTGAGCAGCAATGGAGCTGTAACCTCACCAACTCCTCTAGCACATTGTCCTCAAAATGAACTTCCTCGGGAACAGAGATATGGCTTAGTTGGTAAAGTTCTTGCCTTACAGTCCTGAGAACCTGAGTTTGGGCCCCCAGAACCCTCTTAAAAAACTGGATGTGGTAGCTAGCTCCTATAATCCAGTGCCTGGGAGGCAGAGGATGCCTGGGGCTTCCTGGCCAGCCAGCCTAGCCTGCTCTCGAGTTCCAGGCAAGTGAGAGACCCTGTCTCAGAAAACAAGGTTAAGAGCCAGCTCTTGCTGCACAAACCTGGCACCCTGAGTTCATTCCCAGAACCCATGTAAAAGTGAAAGGAGATAACTGACTACAGGGCTGTCCTGTGACCTGGCCTTGAACTCGCTATGTAGACCTGGCTGGTTTTGCTCTCAAGAGATCCACCTGTCTCTGCCTCTGCTGGGATTAAAGGCATGCATCATGCCCAGCCCAATAATACATTTTTAAAAGGTGGATATAGATTGAGGAAGCTGCCTGACATTGACCTCTAGCCTCCCCACATATATACACACATGTACATACACATAAACCAGCTACACACACAGAGGAACTTTATAGTTGACTTGGCATGGGCCAGTATTTTTTACTGTTTATTTTTTCTGTTGTATTTTTGAGACAGGGTCTTTCTGTAGCCTCAGCTAGCCTGGAACTCACTATGTAGACCAGGCTGGCCTCATCTCACAGAGATCTACTTGCCTCTGCCTTTTTTTTTTTTTTTTTTTTTTTTTTTGGTCTTTTTGAGACAGGGTCTCCCTGTAGCCCCAGCTGTCCTGGAACTCACTATGTAAACCAGGCTGGCCTTTAACTCACAGGGATCTGCCTGCCTCTGCCACCCAAGTGCTGGGATTGAAGGTGTGCACCACCACACCCAGCCATTAATTTTTAAGATTTTTTTTTTTTTGTGGATTCATGAGTGTGTGTGTGTGTGTGTGTGTGTGTGTGTGTGTGTGTGTACACGTGTACCTGAGTGTAATTCCCACAGAGGCCAGGAGAGGGTGTTGGATCCCCTGGACCTGGATGGAGTTATAGGTGGTTAGGAGCTACCTGATGTGAGTGCTGAGAACCAAACTCTGGTTCTCTGCAAGAGCAGCAAAGGCTCTTAACCATTGAACCATCTCTCCAGCTTCTGTTACCCTTTCTTACCTCCTTTAAGTCTTCACCTTCAGTTTGGCCACTTGGATATGTGGACGAAAATCACACAAAATGACTGTTGCTTTTTAGTACATATCCTTCCTGCTCAAGTAATTACTCTCTTCTAAAGCCTTGGTTTGCTGTATAGCAGAGCTCCCCAAGGAGGAAGGGGCAGAGGGAACCCTGAAGGGGAGGAAGGAACACATGGTCAGGTGTTCTGTGCAGCTTCCATTTTGACCCTGCCAGCCCTACTGTGGGTCCTGCCTCCATTGAGAGGAGAACTGCCACTTCCTTTCGCCCCAGAGTCCCTTTGCCAGGATTCCTCCTGTAACCATGGTGAGCAATAGAGTAAAGATCTGTGAGTTGTATTTCACTTGATGACTTCCATACCCCTGACCCCTTTCCTTCATCTTTCTGTTTGTTTTGTTAACTTTTTGTACTAGTTTTCTGTTGCTGTGGTAAAACACTGACCAAGAACAACTTGAGGGAGGAAAGGGTTTATTTTCATCTTACACTTCTATGT